AAGTGGCTGCTTCAACAAAGCAGTCAGGCTCAGGTTGCTGTGGTTCAAACCCAACTCAAGCCAGCCAAACCTGCCCTGAAGGCATTCAGAGAAAAAAAAAAAAAAAAAAATCCTTATAAACTTTTTTCCTGTTTCCTTGGTTTCAATAAAAATAATATCATAAGCCTGGGGTGTTTCAGTGGTAGGTATATGTTTAGCATGTGGAAGGCTCTGGGTTCAAAGCTATGCACCACTCACCTCCAAAAAAAAGATTGTAAAGTATAAAAATAAAGAGTTGGGCTACGACTGTACCTCAGTGGTAAAACACTTGCCTAGCAGACACAAGCACCTGGGCTCTAACCCCAGCACTACAAAAATTAAAAAAGTACAGATATACCCATATCCACAAATACACTATGCAAAGGAAATCATGATAATCAACTTCAGATCAATAGTTCTCAGTAAGGGGCAATTTTGCCTCTTGAGGAACATATAGCAACACTGTATAGAAAGCTGTATCATCCAGAGACAATTAGCAACACTATAGTAACACCATATGGAGACAATTTTGGTTGTCACTAAGCAGACAGGGAGTGTTTGGGAGGTTGGATGGTGTTAAAAGTTTCCACAATGCACAGGATAGAGCCCCTCACCCTCAACAAAAATTTCCAGCCCATAGGGCCGGCGGTATAGCTCAGCGGACTAAGCGCTTGCTTAAGTAAGCGCAGGGGCCAGGGTTCAATACCTGGCTCCGCCTGCCGCGCCGGCCCCACCTTTGGGTGCGCTGAGCCTATGGAGTCCAGGCGCGGTGGCGCACGCCTGTAATCCCAGCACTTGGGAGGCAGAAACCAGGTGGATCACTACTAATGTGGGCTATGTAGTGAGACCCTGAGCAAAAAAAAAAAAGAAAAAGAAAATCCAAAAAAAAACCTTTAAAAATTTCCAGCCCAAAATGTCAATAATGCTGAGATTGAGAAATCTTGTCCTGGATAAATACAGCAGCTGCCACAGGCATGAAATCTTGCAATCCTAAACCGTTTGACCCACATTTTGACTAACGAGAACAGAGGTCCTTTTACAATGGTACTTGTCTCTTCGATTTACTGTTGTCCTAAACAACACACAGGGACAAAAGAGGGCTCCATATTCCCTTTAAATAACTCTCATCCAGAGCCTTTGACTTTAGTCCACTGTCACCATTTTCCTAATAAGAAACTGAAGCATTAAGAGGTTAAGCAACTGGGCCAAGGTCACATAGCTATTAAGGGATAGAGCAAGCCTGTTCCTAATCAGTCTGCCTCGGTTCCTTCAAGGTACAGAAATCTGGGTCCAGAGTCTGCATTTGCCAACTAAACTTCTTCCTTATTGGTGACCCTATTCACTGCCCTTTACAAGAAACAGATGAGCAAAAATCATATCTGAGGAAGGACAAGGACTGGAAGACTAGATAAGGTCCAGAGGACACCCAGCGAGCTCCGGGATGTTCCCAAGAAACTACTTAGAGATGTTACAGTTTCTCTGTGCCTCCCCTTCCCCTTCCCCCACAGGGTTACAGAATCACAGTATCTGGAGGTTGCATGTGATATCTACAAATTAACCCTGACTTCTGCCTAGCTGAGCAGAAAGTGGCAGCACGGCCTTCCATGCCGGCTCCTATGCCTTAGGGGGACAATCCTGCTCAAGACGGGGGGGGGGGGGAACAGCCCAGGACTCCCCTCATTGAAGTCGGCCCTGAACCCTCCAGTACCTTCCTCAGCACCTTCCTCGGCACCTTCCGGGTGGAATTTCAGGAGAGACACGGAAACAGGGATGGGATGGAAACTGCTTTCCACCTACAAAAATTAAAAGGGGAGGGTCTGTCCCAAGTTGTCCCCCTACTGAACGGGAAACTGGCAATGCTCCCTGACGCCCAGCTCCAGAATTCTCACCAAGGATGAGGACACCATGGCTTCTCCTGGAGACCCCGAGCCCAGTTTTCCCAGGATACCTATCTACTGTCCCGAGGGCGCCCCGAAGATGCAGGCTTGGATGTTGGCCAACCCTGGCTCCTGGCTGGCTCACCCCGCTCCCTGGGCCCCCACAGCGCCCCCGGGTTTTTCCTGGATCCCCACGGTCCCGGTATCCCAGCTTCCTAGCACCCTTACCCTCAGCAAGGGGCTCTAACCTCCAAATCCAACACGTCCCAGATCCCAGCTTCAGTCTTCCTGCCCATCTCTGAGCCTCAAGAACCCCGGCCCTTCAAGCCACCCTGGAGCCCCAAGACTACGACTCCGGGCCCCCAACCCCTTCACCTCGGGGCCTGCGGGCGATTCAGGAGCCCCGCGCCCCTCCGCCTCCCACACCCGCGCCCCGTCGGCCCCGCGGACCTTCCCGGAGTACACCGGGACCACCGGCGCCTCCCCCGGGTCCAGCTGCAGTCGCCGCCGCCGCCGCCTGACCAGGGTCTGCGGGGTTGCTGAGGGCCGCGCGTCCGCCCCGTCGCTGTCGCTGTCGTCCCGGAGTGTAGTAGGCACCCGGGGCTCCGGAGACCGGGGCTCCGGAGACCTGGGCTCCACCGGGTCCGCTGCTCCCCGCGCGGCCACCACTTCCACGATATCCTCATCGCTGTCGCTGACCAAGTCCACAAGCACCGCGTCCACAGCGCGCCCGTCCGGAGACCTTTGGGCGCGAGGACGCCCGCCCCGGCCGCCGCGGCCACCCCGGGCCCCGCGGCCACCCCGAGCCCCGCGGCCACCCCGAGCCCCTCGGCCACCCCAGCCACCTCCGGGCCTCAGAACCCTTTTCCTCACAGGTTCCGCCATCTCACACAACCGCCACGCCCGCCCGCCTCTACGCTCCACGCCCCACCCAACCCAGCGATCTCGACCTCTTATTGGATGGACAACATGCCAGTCAACAGCCCTCTCCGCCCACACTCTCCGGATACGCCTTCCTACCTTTTCATTGGTTATTGTATCCATCCATCATGTATCCACCACTAAAACAAAGGCGCCAAAGATTCCAATACCCTCCGTGCAATCAGCGAAGGTTTTGATTTGTCCGGGCTCACCCATTGGCTGGACTACGTCTCCGCTCACAAGCCCTCTGTCGGTCCCCGCCCATTTAAAAGACTGTTCACGTTGTAGAGGAGCGAGGCATCCTGGGAATGGTAGTCCTCAAATCTGAAGTCTATGAGTAGACTTCCGGAGCTGCGCAAACTGTAGGCAGTGCCCGCCTTTTAAAATCCCAGCACGCGGAGCGACTGAAGCAGGACGATCCCAAATTTGAGCTCAACCTGGGCAACTCAGCGGTATAGTGGAAACCTGCTTCACAATAAATAAAATTTAAAATGAGCGTGCCGGTAGTGCTTCCGGGTCGGAGCCATGGCGGTGGCAAATTCAAGCCCCGTAAACCCCGTGGTGTACTTCGATGTCAGCATCGGCGGCCAGGAAGTTTGCCGCATGAAGATCGAGCTGTTTGCAGATGTCGTGCCCAAGACAGCCGAGAATTTCAGGCAGTTCTGCACTGGAGAATTCAGAAAAGATGGGGTTCCAATAGGATATAAAGGAAGCACGTTCCACAGGGTCATAAAGGATTTCATGATTCAGGGTGGAGATTTTGTTAATGGAGATCGTACTGGAGTCGCCAGTATTTACCGGGGCCCATTTGCAGATGAAAATTTCAAACTCAGACACTCAGCTCCAGGCCTGCTTTCCATGGCAAACAGTGGTCCCAGTACAAATGGCTGTCAGTTCTTTATCACCTGTTGGAAGTGCGACTGGCTGGATGGGAAGCACGTAGTGTTCGGAAAAATCATTGATGAACTTCTAGTGATGAGAAAGATTGAGAATGTTCCTACAGGCCCTAACAATAAGCCTAAACTGCCTGTGGTAATCTCACAATGTGGGGAGATGTAGTCCAGGCCAAGACTGAATCATGAATTAGGGCTTCTTCCTTTGCTGTCCTGACTTTCCTGAGTCAGGAAGCTGGACTGGCCTCTGCGTTTGCATTCTGGCCTGCTGCAGAAGTACCAGATCCAGAACCAAGCGTGAACACTGACATTTTCAACTGTAAATAAAGGTTTTTGAATGTTAAAATAAATAAATAAATAAATAAAATGAGCGTGCCGGAGTGCAGTGGTGCACACCTGTATTCCCAGCATTCGGAAGGCTGAGGCAGGAGGATCGAGGACAGCCCCGGCTACACATTGAGCTATGTAGAGAGACCGTGTGCCTCAAAAATCAATCAATCAATCAATCAATCAATCAATCAGTGCTTTAAGGCGGTTAGTCCTGTGCTGAGAAAGGGGAGAAGCGCAAGGAATTCCGAGACCTCGAAGGTGACTCTCTTGCTGGTCCCGGCTGCACCCTCTGCCCGCGTGTTTCAGGCATTGTGCGCTGGAACACGCCGCGGATCCGCAGGGGGCCCGCGCAAAGCTCAGGCGCTCCGCTAAGGCTCATGCAGACTCGGGTGAGCAGCAGAGCCCTCCCTGCTGAAAACAGGAAGAGAACTTCCGGGGCAGAAACTCTGTTTTCCATTATTCATGTTCTGTGAGCCCTGAGACAAAGCCCTCTGCAGATTCCACTTCACATCCAGGGGACCATTGTCTTGGTGTGTGAATCTTCAATAAATGTGTAGGGTGTCTCACGATTCCAGGTTCCAGAGCCTGGAATCTCGTGCGCCTGCGTGCGTGCGTGTGTGTTACTGTACTGGGGACAGAACCCAGGCACTAGCCTACCCCCTACCCCCTACCCCTCCTCCTCCCCCTTCCCTCCCTCCCTTCCCCCTCCCTTACCGAGGATTGAACTCAGGACCTTGCACTTGACAGGCAGGCTTTTTTTCCTGGCTCAGGCTGCCTTAAGGGCGGGTCTGGTAACACATTTGGAGCTGGGGACCGAACCACGAGCCTGACTGCGATTGCATAAGCAGGTGCTTAAACAGCTGAGCTAACCAGCAGGGCCCCCCACCCCACCTCCCTTTCAAAAAATTTATTTGTAGCTTGAGGGGGAGGTGTCACTAAATTAGTAAAATTGACCCGACTTGGCTGAATTTGTAATCCTCCTCAGCTCCCATGCCTGATTCCTTTTTTATTTTTATACAAATTATTAAGAGGTCAGCTTTACTTTTAGGGTTTAGGAAGAGAATATTCAGGAAGACTATGACTCAGCTTTGGTTCTGTAAGACTCCTCCTCTTAAGGAAAGGCTGAGAAGTGTATCTGTATGAAAGATGGCTACCTGTTTTGTCTTTTCTTTTGTTTTTAAATTGTTTTACCAGTACTTAGGAAGTGCTCAACTACATCTCCAGCCCTTTTTAATTTTTTTTTTGGGGGGCGGGGTGGAACCAGGGATTGAACTCAGGTTCAGGCCCTTGTGCTTGCCAGGGAAGCACTTAGTCCCCTGAGCCATCTCCCTGGCCCCCTTTTAAATTTTATTTTAAGACAAGATTTTGCTAAATTGCCTAGGTTGGAATAAAAACCTTCCTGTCTCAGCCTACCTAGTGGCTGGGATTACAGGCTTTTGACAGTGCTGCCCTCAGCAAGAGTTTAATTAAATTCCATTTCCCCAACATACCAGCCCCCACTTCACACAAATAGTATCACACACTTGGACACTGTATCTTCCACACAACTCCCCGCACAACCCAAGCACACCCCTTCGATGCTTCCCCACTGCTTACAAGGCACACCCACACCACACTTCCCCCAGTGACCGACACCTTGACACACTGTCCACAGAGTATGTGTAGGAGCTCGTTGGTCTCTCATTGTACCCCAGGGAGAAACTGTGGCAGGAACAGGGTAAAGATAGACAGGAGCTGGGTTGGTGGGGGCCTGTTTGCCTGATGGGCAAAGGACCTTTATAACAACAGGAGGGGCGTTTATTTCTACCTTTGCAAAGTTAGTACCACAAGACACAAGGTTGCCTAGTGACTAATGGCTGACATTGTGCAGGCAGGATGCTTTCTTCAAAGCTGAGGCAGCTGGACTGCTTTAGGCACTGAGGCCTTGTCCTGCTCTCACACTCATGACCGATTTTCAGCCTCAGCCGCTCCCAGCACGGTTATGTCTCACCCACCCATGCAAAGCACGTCTCCACCACTGCCACGTCCCATCCTGGCCACTGGCACCACAGTGCCACACGGACACTCCATGTCCATCAGTGGGCACCACGTACCCACCGCACCACCTCAGCCAGGGTGAGTCGGCAGCACATGGCCACCAGCAGGTGGGGCCACTGGCCAGGACACAGGTGTCTGGGTGCCAGCGGGGACCCCAAGGACCGACCTGGCTGGAGACTGAGACTGCATCAGAGGCCCTGAAGGAGGCCAGATTTCGAGATAGCTGTGCAGAGCCATGCACCTTGGAATAGCTCTGGGAAGCTGTCCTTGTGGAACCAAAAGGTCCATCTTAGAGGAAATCAGTTGAAAAAGTAGACTGTGGAGCCCTCTTATCTGCCTGAAGACTGAGGTACCAGGCTGTGACTGCCTTCTGCACACCTCCTGTATTAGGGACAGAACGCAGGGAATGCTGAGATAAACCCAGTCTATAGTGGGGTGTGTGTGTGTGTGTGTGTGCGCGCGCGCGCGTTACTGCGGACTGCACTCAGGGCTTTCACTCTGACTTTGTTACGTCCCTGATGACACATCCCTGGTCCTTTTTTACATTTTTGAGATAAGATCTCTTAAGTCAGTAAATTGCCCAGGCAGTGTGCAAATTTGTGACCCTCCTGGCTCAGCTTCCCAAAGTGCTGGGGTTCAGGCATGCACCAACACACCTAGTTTTCCTCCTCCTCCCTCTTGTTCTCAGGACCAAGGATAGAATCCCAGCCTTGCTCATGGTAAGCAAAC